CGGGTACCATTAGAGCACGAGCGGCGCACGCGTGCGCCGAAATGGTGTCAGCTGCGCCGACCTCGCCGCGCGGCCTGACCCCTGGCAGCGACCCTGCAAGGTTGTGGCTTTTGTGGAAAGTGCGCGCCGCCGGCGTGGGGTGAGTGCGAAGGCGGGCATTGAGACGGGGCCTGCCCTGTAGAGATGGGAGTTGGACGAAGTTCGAGCGTTTAGGGCGGTGGTTGTAAGTGGACGCCTGAGGGAGGTCGTTGGATGAGGTGATTTGATCCCAGTTCCACTAAGTGGCTTGGATTTCTCCACAGGAAAAGGCCCAAGGCTGTGTCTTACCACAAGCATTCGGAGTAGGTCTTTTGGTGTCTGGCGAGGTAGTCCGCAGCACCAGCCGCAGACAGCTGCTGCCACCTACAGTAAAACCGCTTTACTAGCAGTGTCTGGAGCTGCTGCTAGGTGGCGGGCAGGTTCTTTGTGCAGCCTGTAGGGTAAAGGGGCCGCTGGGAGCGAACTTTTCCTATGTATTGACGTAACAGTTTATCTAAACTTGGTCTATATCAGGGGTTGGCAAATGGTGGGGCATGCCCCCTTTGGGGGTAATGGCGCCCTTCGGCGGGGGGTAATGAGGGCCTCTGAGAAAGCCTCATCTTTTTTAGAATTAATGGCTCCCTTGCTGGGACAGACATCGCAACTGTTGTGCTCCAGGATTCAAAGATTAGTCGAGGGCAAACACACAAAGCATGAACTGATTATCTGGCGCATGCAAATTTTCATTAGCTGCTCACCATTCCGTACAGTCGCGCAAAAGTAACTGTCAGTAAGTAACCGGCGCTCGCCCATTGACGTTTTCACAGTCACTAACGCAAGGGAGAGGAGTTGTCCATTGCACCCTGACCCGAGCATCTCGGCTTCTGAGCTGGAGCTTTGCAGAAAAATTGAGCGTGCTGCCCGTGAAGAAAGGCAGCCGCTGCTACCCAATTTAAAGGTCCTTGGTCCTTTGGTGACCTTCCAGAGGTCAATGACAAGTCCCGAGTAAATCGGCTCTTGCTGTAACTTCTTGAAGTGAGATTTAGTGGCCTGCCATGATCTCAAGAAAGATCTCACAAAGCAACGGTTATTCGGGTTAAGGTCATGCCATTTTCAGGACAGATAAAAATGATTGGCTCGAGGGTACAGTTTTTCGTGATCCGACCCTTTTAACGTGATCTATTTCCGAAAAATACCCGCTACCCCTATGCGTATGGGGGTTAACCCGCGCCCCGATGGGGCTCCTGGGTATCCACGCCCTGCTGGAGGTGGAGGTTGAACACCCCCTACTAACTTGGCTCCTGGGCCACTAGCAAAACGCCGTAGTCGGCGTTCGAAAGAGAGTAAGAAATGATGAAGGAAAACTAGGTCACTTTTTAGGTCAAGTCAAAGGTCAGCTCACCAGAGGTCATCGAACGTAAAATTTCGCCAATTTCCAGGCCAACCTTTGACAATTTTCGACAAACTGGCCTATAGCTCAAGAAAGAATAGAGCTACAGCGCTGCGGAAAAACGCATTCGATAGCTCTCCTAACGTTCTTTCTGATGACGCCCTCAGATTTAACCTAAGCATAACGATTTAGCCTGCGGGAGACAAAACTGCTAAAATGTACGTTGTCTGCTGATAGTTTTTCTTCAATAGCGTTTCACTCAGAACTTGCCAGAGATCACATTTATCAGCATGGTGCTCCTCCCGTCGAGAAGCATCGAAGGTCTTGTTGCACATCAGGTGATCCGTGTCGTCGAGCTTAACACATCTAAGGCATTTTCATCGCTCTGGCATGCCTTTATCAAAAGTTATTAGCGAAAAACTATTAGATACCGTTCACGACCTGAAATGACCTCAGGGACATACAGCGGGGTTACGGGTGCAGTTTTCCGGTTCACTGGTCATGTTTACTTGTGATTCAGTGCTTCACAGTGTTAGGAATGACACTCGTCCAAAAGAGGCGTCTTTCAATTTCTACCATTGACTTTGCGACCTCTCCCATTGATAACGAGAGAGGGCGTGAAAGTGAGCTGACCTTTGGTCACCGACATTAAATCTCCGAGATACAAATTTTGTACATGCTATTGCCTTTATCAATTCCTGAAAGTTTGAAAGAGATCTGTCACTCTGTGTAGCTACGACAGGCGTTACAGTCTTTACTGAGGTGAGGTCACTTGACGTGATCTGGTGACCTGACTTTTAGCGACTTTGGTCTGAAATTTTCACAACATGTGCAGAGAACATGTATGACAAAATATGACAAAATGTTGCCGCTCAACGTTTTTGAGATATTTGCGAGAAACCGCAGGGGGGGGGGGGAGACCTGTGGTTTCTCGCAGATATGGTACCCAAAGAGTCGCGGAAAAGTATGGAATTTCAGTAACTTTGGTTATATCACCAATGGGGTCTGGCAGGTGGGGTAATGGCGCTGCCTGGCGCCAAAAAAGGGGGCACGACCCCGGAGGACCTGCCGACCGCTGGTCTATATGATGATAAGATGGTTCGAAGATAATTGGAGCTGGTATGGGATAAGACGGTGATCTTAAGTTAGTTGCTCGGGTTTAGTAAAACGTAACAAAACCGACACCAAACGTCATACCTAAAGCTCAAGTAAATGCTGATTTAGGTGCGCGTCCGAATAGAAGGTGAACGCATATGCGTTCGCGTTTTTATTTCCGACCACGGTGTTGCATGCATTGTTTGATAATCAGACAATAAGGCAATTAATTCTATCCCTTCGCCTGTACACCAGCTCAGCTCAGCTGAACGCCATCTACCTTTCAGTACGACCTTTCTCTCTCGGCACCTGTGGCGATGGCGTGGGGCGCTGCCGTCACTCACTGAGCCGTCCTGTGGGCCATTTTCATATGCAGGTCGGGCTGCTCCCGCCGATAACTCAGCCCGAGTTTCTCGCTAGGGGGCTGTTCATCTTCCCACGGCCATTGCGTAGAAAGGAGAGCGGATGTCGAATTACGATAGATTCTTGCTGTTGTCGGAAGTTGACGATGTTTCTGAAACCTTTGCTGGTAAAACTACCAGTGGCGGCGTAGTTGAGTTTGACCTTCAGCTGTTTTGTAAATTTTATGTGCTCAGATGACCAAAGAGCTCCTCGCTGGGAACGAGGTGAAGTTAGCTCGGAAAACTTATGCCTCCTCCAGCGGGAGTCTGATTACCTGGTAATCCAGTGGGATCCGGTCGGCCGAGTGGCCCCCGTCCCTCTCCACCCCACACCCGGGCCGCGGTGGGCGCCGGGCCGTCTGCGGCAGAGAATCGTCTCCGCCGCCGGCCGCCGGGTCAATACCGGGCCATGGCGCGTCGGTCGCCGGTCAGGGTCGACGCCGACGGTCTCCATCGATCCCGACGGCAGCGGCGGCGGCGCGGTGGTGGCGGGGCCAGACGGCGTGGGACGCAACGTGGGCGGTCCGGGGACGATTACTGTGCGCGGCTGCTCCAAAACACCGTGTGGGTGGCTTGTTCGGAAGATCCTAAAGAAAGTATGAAACTACATAAGTGAGGAGTCGCCTGGATTGCGGTGAATTGGGTGGTAGTGGTAGAGTTGTGGAGCTATGACGAGAGCGTGGAAATCGTGAGTGACCCGGCTGGCGTGAGTTTGTTGTGGATGTGACCTTGACTGAGGGCGTGCGTGAAGGGGGTCAGCCTCCAGCGAGGACGGAGGACGACCGTGAACTTGAAAAGGACGGCCGGAAAGGACCCTGACACCGGAGAGCAGAGGAGTGAAGATCAGGCAGGCGGGAGACTGTTCCATGTTTGTGTGTAGGGCGGCTGCCGCTGCTTCTTCGAGACTCTCCAATATCAGCTAGGACTGATAGCCGGGCACGCTAACGAGATACCGTGCTGCTCTCCCCCGCTGCCACTGTGTCGGTAATTACCATTACCAGCGTCCGCCGGTAATTTCCGGTAACTGATCGCCCATCGTCGCCGCATGGCTTCGACAGCTCATTTCGGTGGAAAAATCGACGACTAATTAGACACCCAGAGAGGGAGTTTTTAGAGGTCTGGCGCAATCGGTAAACTGGTACTACATCAACGGTGGCTTTTCATGTGCCGGAGCTGAAGTGGTGGCCACGCCCTCCGATTGGAATCTCAAGGACGCGTCGAAGCGGTGCTCCAGATACATTATACCTTGTTCGTGCACTGGGTATAATTGTAACGAACTCCGGGTGCCGTTGCACCATTCTGCAAGTCAGCCTGGCCGGCTGGCGGGCGACGCTCTTGGTCACCTCTCGCCCGCTGTGCCGCTGTTGGTGCTCGATGAACGGCCGACCACCGCCGCCGGCGGAGAGTAATTTCTCTGTACCATCAGCGCCGTGCAGCCTCTGACCCATTGCCATGCAGCCTGCGCCGCGCCTCGGCCGCTGACATATTACCGTCCCAGTTCCGTGCTGAGCCCACGGCCTGAGAGCTCAGCTCTGAGAGCCAGGTCGGGCTGAGAGGAACCGGGTTCAACTGAGGTACACCGTTCGGCTTCAGTGAGCCGCGACAAGACAGTGTTTGGACCGTGCCAATTGGAAAGCAGGCCCGCGGTGAGATTGGCATTCCATGTAGCCTCTCGGTTGGTTTGTCGCAGTGGTGTCACGACATTGCCTCGACACGGACCTTGCTGCCACTCCGACAGATTGGTTCACAAAACGGCGCTTCGTTGACCTTTCGCTTCAGTCGCATCTGCTGAGAACACTTCAGAGCCTGGTGGGAACTTTTCTCACACTCCACCCCCGCTTTGGCTCTGTGGTTGGCGTGCGGTTATCCTGACCTAACCCTCTCATCTTGTGATCTCTTTTCTCACACCTTTCCTCCCCAACCCTGCCCTGACCCGTTGGCGCGCTCATCTGGGCTGACCTGACCTTCCCACCCCTCCTGCCCCTCCCCACCTCGGTGGTGGCGTCACGGCCCGAGCCCTGCGCGCCGCCGCCAAGCGAGAAAGTGCCGGTCGGCGCGGCGGCGGCGCTGAACCGACCGGTCGACCGCCAGACGGGCGCCGTCGGCGGCCCAGGTGACACAGCCCAGAGTGCTGCGCGAGGGTGGTCGGTGTGCGCCGTGATGTCGTGAAGACTCGGCGTCTCAGCGAGTTATGAAGTGGCCCATTGACAATCGTACCATCCGGAAGGAAGATTTGACCGTATACCAGCCGTGATTGAGGCTGCCTTCGTCGAAGGTGACAGAATTGCTCAAACGAGGCGTCAATTTGACGTGTCGCATTAACTATCACCAAAGAGGGGACACAGTCAGTCTGTCTCCTTCCGTGCAAACTTTGTGGGACGTGACTGATAGTCGGGTTGGTGACGTGACGCGCTTCGGCTGCGGCCGACCTCTGACCCTTTCGCTGCCCTGGTGGAACGGTATTGACAGCCCTGAGCGAGTAGTATACGGGTCAGGATCGAACTGTGTGCAAGCGTTGGGCACCCTTCCTACGCGCTTGCATCGAAACGAACATTGGTGTCAAGCTGTGCTTCTCTTGTACCGACTACTGGAGCGTTGCGAACAATTGAATCAGCGACGTCACTCTCAGACTCAGTAGACATCTGTGAGTTTCTCTTGTGTGGCCCAAAGTGACATTTTCACGGCACTCACTGGAGCGAGACATGGAGACATCGGCTGGCACTGCAGTCGCTGAGACCGCTGCTATCGACCAGAGAGAGCCGATACCGTCAACCCCTCCGGACAGTCTCGGCTCGGACGAGTCGGGCGGCTCAGGGTTCGGAGACGACGCCTCTCTGGGGAGCGACGACCGCGAGCCGAGTCAGGAGGACCGGGACCCTTCTGAGGAGCCACTGGGAGCGTCTAACGACGACCTAGAAGCCTCTGACGACGATGACCCAGCGGTGACAGCTCGTGACGATCCTGAGACGGCTGCCGAGGAAGGTTCGCTGCTCGATGATGTACAGTTGGAGCAGGACGACTCCCAGCTTAGCGAGCGAGACAAATCGGCCAGCGTGACGCCGGGGCGAGACGGCATTGAAGGGTCGGATGAAGATGACCGCTCTGAGGACCGCTCTGAGGATCGCTCAGAGTCTGACTGGGGAGACGCCGATGGAGCAGACCCAGCCTCAGGCCCCACACAGGTGCTCAATCTCAGCGAGACGGAGCCGGTGGACCACAGCGGATTTGACGCTGATGCGGGAGAGACTGTGTCTGACGATGCCGCTGCCAGAGGTGGAACGGTGACTGTGCCCGGGGAAGCTTCCTCCCCGGCTGTCAGTGAGTCGGACTCCCTGGAGGGAGGTGAGGAGGGTGGCCTCGCTGAGATCGACGCTGCCGCAGGGGATGTCGAAGAGTCGCCAAGCGGCAATGAAGCTGGTGGAGGTAACGACGCCGAGCAGGCAGACGTCTCTGTTCCTCCGGATCACTCCGAACATGTCGAGGCACGCGAACCGCCTCGGCCGGCGCCGCGCCCCGCGCCCCGACCGGCACCTCGCTCAGTACCCCCTCGTTCAGAAGTCGTCCCCGCCGAGACCATCGCCGTTCTGGAGAGGACGATCGTTCCTCCTCTGACGCCCGACAGTCTGTCCTCGGAGGAAGAGGAGGCGGGGCAGAGGGCTGAGGACAAGGTGGGAGATGCCGAGGAGCAGGGGAGGAGCATGGAGAGGACCAGGGTCGGACTGGACTCGGGACTGGTTCGTGACAATGATGAGGATATTGAGGAGGCTGGGGAGGAGGAAGACGTGTCCTCTGATGAGAGACGCAGAGTGGAAGAGGAGAATACCATCAATGAACTCAAATCAAAAGCAGGTAAGAAGAGAGCGCGAGTATGATGAAAACTGCCATTTCAGGCTAGGTATAATTATTTTTGCAAGCAGGCTACAACGACGATTAAAACGATTCTGCGCACTATTTCCTCTGCTCTATTAGTAGCTACTTATGGTAGATCGTATATCCATTGATAAGTCCAACCGATCCAGTTTCCTCTTTTTGCTGATCGCTGCATCCATTCTCTAATTGCAACACACCGCCAGTAGCCATTAACCGGTTTCTTGCTAGTGCATGCATTTGCTACGCTTCTGTAGTTTTTGCTCTGGTAACTGTCTATTCGCGCCCTAAAGCCCTAATAAACAAACAAACAAACGAAAGCCATCGGGTTGATATTGACCCAGATCCATTTATTGAATTACGTTTTAAGTGGATTATTTAATATTTGGAGCCTGAATAGCCGTCATTTATACCTATTACAATTTAATTTTGTTCCATCATTATTAAAAGCTTGGTAGATCCAATAAATCAGACCGTTGAAAATCATCAATGGCAGTTAGCATTGACTGTGTAGCTGGCGACACAGATTTATGAATAAAAAATATTTTTCTTTACATTCAACCACCATTCATTTATTCATTGCATTTATTTGCTCCAAGATATTCGTGTTGATTCGTCGAAGCGCCCATATCAGCATGCAACAGCTTACTATTTGTAGGTCACAAGCCAGGACGTAATGTCTACGCCTTTGGGCCATAAATAAAGTGGATTTTTGAATGTAAAGTACCTCAGAGTGGCTCTTTAAGTAGGTAGGTACCCAAGCTGGTAGGAGGTATTCTCTCCTGTTCCCGTCTGGCAGGCATTTCGTGCTCGATCGCCCGCCTCCCTCGCTCCTCGCTCCATCAGTTCGGAACACGCAGCCCGTCACGAAGTGTCACGGCGTCCCATAACGGCCCGTCACGCAGCGCCGTCAGGTAACGAGGTGGCGCTCCGACGGCTGTGTCCCTTCATCGAACGGTACCGACAGCCTATATGTGGCTTATCGACAGCGACAAGCCTCATCAAACGGTTTTCAAAAGCGGTGCTATTGCATATACCATCGCCTCGCCGTAGTTACATGATATAGATCAATTTAATGCGAATAATGCACTGCCGCCGATATGGGTCTTGTTGAGCGTATAGGCTAAGAAAAGAATGGCCACTATGGCTTTGTCCAGCGCTAAGTTTGGTACTGTAACTCTGGTGACTGACGGTCACCAATTCCATTAGCCCATTACAATCACGCTGTGACGTTATTTCTGGCTGCCGCCGGGCCCACACTGTCCAGCTGGCGGGTTTCTCTGCGTCATATGGGTACTTTCTTCTACCGTTGCTGTGGACGGTAGTGGCACGACTGTGGCGACGACGAACACCAGTCGGTGGCGGCTGGTTACCGGTTACCTACAGAAACGGTTACTGGGGAGGTGGTTGGTCTGTGACATTGCGTCAGGTGAACCATGCGTGCTTGTTAAACACTGAGGCATGAGCTCTTCGAAATGGGGAAAGTTATAACTACTATAGTCTGCAGCTGTTTGGAACGGCAGGAATGCGAGACAAATGCACTGAATGCTCTGTTTCCTCCGTTTGTTCAGTTTGGTGGTTTGGCTGTGCGAGTGTGGAGCGGTGTCAGGAAGCCTTGACTTAGCGTGGGAGCGAGCTGCAGCAGGCGACATTTCACGGGTCTGCAGAGCTCCTATGACCCCGGCCCCACTACAGTGTTGGCCCGTTTTATCCTCACCTTGAATCCACTGCAGTAAAAAGTTTTGCGCACTTCGGGAAAGTTGCTTGCAAAAGTTTTACGCTCAAACAATGTGCAGAAACATTCCTGCGGTGCGAGCGACTTTAGCGAGTGTCATTTGAGCGAACGTCATTTGAGCGAACCATTTTCAGCGACTGGCAACTTAGCGAATATCAAATTGAGCGATTATCAAATATAGCGATTATCAATTTAAGCGAAAGCTATGTTTCAGCGACATCTTTTTCGTCGACTACAGTTTGAGCGACTGTCATTTCAGCGAAACACTTCATCGTCCCGTAACGGTGTATTTTTTCGTTTTTCTTTTGCGAGCGTTCGTACAACGAATGTTTCCGGAACTTTTCATGGTTATCCGGAACTGGATGGCGGATGTCACGTTCAAAGTTCAGACATTAAGCTCCAAATTTAATGCCACATTTCTAAAAAAATTACAGTGGTTCGATTTCATCCCCCCCCCCCTGCTGTTTGCCAATAATGATGACCAAACGTTTGTTCAGAGATTCATATTGCTTGTACTGTTTTTCGCGAAATTCCCCCGCTTGAATGTGGATCAGTTCCCCATGTTGTAAAATTTGTTCTTGCCCCAAGCACCGTACGAATTTCTAGATATTTGGGTAAGGTCCCTGAAACATAGGCTGGATCCCCCTGTGCCATCCCTCGAGTTTATTATTGGTCCTTGGCATTCCTTCAATCGTCCTATCTCTCACGTCCCACATTTCCAGATCAAAGTTGCAGAATAAGGCCAGATATTTTTGTGGTTTCCAAGCATAAAAGAAATTTGCCGCGCGCAGCTTGAAGCATGACACATACCAAGCGGGTATTCCAAGGGCAAGTTCCCGAAAAGTAGCAAATGATTGACTTCCGTCGCGTTCGGTTTCGCTGTAACTGTGTTCGCTCAACTGGTCCCCATTGACCGCCATATATTCGCTCAATCTGGTTTCGCTGATTCTGGTCCTCGCTTAAGTTGATAATCGCTGTGATTGAATTCGCCGACTTGACAATCGCTGAAAAAGTCAATCGCTTAAATTGATAATCGCTGAAAAGGCTTCGCTCAAATGTCGTTCGCTGAAATGACGCTCGCTCAGGTGTCGCAGAACCACATTCCTGACGCCCTGCACTCTGACCGTGCGCCGCAATCGACTCGGGCTGCGGTGACCCGTATCATAACAGGGCGCTGTGCCTGGCACGGTTATTGGACCTGCTGGACAAACAATAGCGCCGTGTGGCCGCATACACGGCACGGATATCAGCATTCGGCCCAATAGGCGATCGTCAGCAGCGTATTGTGCTGGAGTTTGTCGATACCGGCCGCCTCGAACACGCCCCGTTTATGCACAGCAAATGGAATGACCCCGCCGGCCGAAACGGGTCATCGCCGGCCGTGTATACCCGCAGTTCGGCAAATGGTTGGGTCATCGTGTAATACCCAAAGTTCGATAAATGATCGGGTCACCGTGTAAAACCGTCAGCTCGGCGAATGGCCGGGCGACGGGCGCGGCGCGGCGCGGTGGGGCGATACGAGTGTTTCGCCACCGTCCGCCGTCGTATAGGGCACGGTACTGATGACCTCGGGTCATCCGAGGTCACAGGTCACCTCGGGGACCGGGCGTGGTCGGGAGCGGGGTGACCCAACGCCACTGAGGTCGTGCCCCCTGAGCGTGCCCCACGCCCCCCGGGGCTAATGGTAACGGCCCGGTACGGTGATGAAAGTGGTGCCTAGACTGCAGTTGACACCTTCGGGAGCTGTGCCCGTCACGATGAGGACGGTTTTAGAACGGTGAGGGGCAAGGGTATCGACTTCACGGCTTCGGGGGCCAATGAAGTCCCTTTGGAGACGTGTGCTGACGTGGGGGACGAACACTGTAATGCCATCAGCGTAATGAATTGAAGGTCTCATCTCTTCGACACGCAATGAAATGACGTTTCGATAGTTGCGTAACATCACCGAGCTGTGGGTATTCCGAAATCCATTTGAATTAATTTGTTTACGGGGACGACTTGGGTTAGGAAATCAGGCCGGATCTCAGCTGCGTGCCATGATAGTGGAATCCTCCAGTCACCCTAAGACGCCCTTTGGAACGGCCTTTATTTATACCCCAACTTACCCACACCCCAGCAGCAAGATCGTACCAGTGCATGTCACAATGAAACATTACTATTTACCAAGAGCTCGTTTCGTTTCCCAACCTCAATCTCCAAGCGAGGCGCATCCCATGTCCGCCATGGTTACGAGGGTGTCTTCACCGAGCCCTCAGATCAGGTCGCCTCATGGCACCCACACCCTCTCCCCTGACCCGTGCTGCGTTCTGGCGTTATGTCGGCGGCAGGTGCGGTGCAGTCAGCCCCCGGCTGACCCGGCCTGCACCTGACAGACGGGCTCTAAAATGACGCCACCCGAAGGCACGTCTGTTGTGCTTAAACGGATTGCGGCAATGCAATTTAAGGCATGGCGTTGCAATGCGGCATATGGCGGTCTTGTCGGGAATACTGTTACACTAAATTGCTCGGTAAACGAAATGCAATTTACCGAACAAACGAACAAAACGTCAACACACTAGACGCAAAAGTGGCCCGTTAAGAGCGAAGAAGCCAACACATTGTGCCGAAATGGAATGAGTATTGACTAGCTACCTACAAACGCGAGCCAGGGCTTAGCTTTCGCGATCAAAAGCGACATGCCCATACATACATACATATATACATGTTACAACATACCCCACCCGGCTCTGATACAACATGTACCTCGCCGCCATCTTGGAAAAACATCCTCGTGCTCAAAAACAGCGGACAGCTGGATAAATCCATTTTCACTTACGCAGCCTTAGAACCTACCCTCACCACCGCTACGGAGATCTTTCAAATTCGTGCACATCTAAATGCCCAAAACACACATTTTCTTGCAACTTATTCTTTTAGAATGACATTAAAAAAACATGAAATCGGCTCTCACCTCGAGACGCGTCCACCCAGCCACACGACAGAACAGGGAAAGATGGCGCCCGGAAAACCTCGTCGGCTGGTCGTGTCACGAGCACCATCTATTGGATAAGTTTGGCACAATTCGCCCTGATACAACTTGGACATGATACAACTCTCCCCGCTCTCCCCTAACGAGTTGAGCTGTAGGCAATCAGTCGACGCTTTACGTAAAATAAAATGTGACACATCTCCGATACCTCTGTATTTTATCAGTTGACTAACTATTGTCTCCCGTTGTCCTCCGTTGTCTCACCGCTCTCCCGTTGTCTTCCGTTGTCTCACCATTGCCTCTCTCTGTCCTCCGCAGTGTCCGGTGTGCCGGTGGGGACGGTGAAGGACGACCCTCCGGCGGCAGCGCCCCAGTCCGGCCGGCGACTCATCAAGGCTGACCCGTCTCTAGCCGTCCCCTGCTCCACCACATTCGTAAGTCAACAGAAAATGGGCGAGCTTTTCTGGATTAGGACGGTGATCCTTGTGTTGATTTGATCAAGCGTTAAAGGTATTGCGCATATTAGGTGTCCGGTAGGCGGTAGCTTCGTGGATGTTTTGCATATCCTCAATAAATTCAATGCAGGGATTGCAGGGCTGGTATCAAAGCCTGAAATGTAGGTATATCGGATTGGGGAGATTCCATTGGCAGTTGGCACAGCACGGAACTTATTTGACCTCAGGAGAATGGAATTGCGTCTCCCGTGACCTGTGAATGCCAGAGCAGGTGCCTCCATCCAGTGGTATTTCATTTCGCTGCTCATTGCGTTACTTATTCAGCCAACCAATCTGCTGTTGGCATATCTCATCTCATTGACATATCCCCTGATATAAAGTCAAATTAGGTTTCTTTCCATTTGGAAAGGGAACGCCCATTTTCCCAAAATAGAGTCGCCCAATCACACTCCGCACAGCTGCCCTTGCCAGCCAATCGGCGGCCGTGGATGGGTTGGCGTTTGACGTCACTGCCGTTGCCAGGACGACGACGATGACGATCCCGACTTTCCGGAGACGCCTGCCACGCCCTACTGCCCGGAGCCGGCGCCCCGGGACGGTCTGGGCCTGGGGTACAGGACGGGCGGCACCGGCACCGGCTCCGGCTCCGGCTCCGGCATCGGCTCCGGCATCGGCGGCACGCCGTCACACTGGCAACACAACAGTGAGTGTCGGGAAGAAGGGCTCTGTGGGGATCGGGTGCCTTATCGGCCATATGTGTACGACTGTACGTGGGAACAGGCGACGGGTGGCGGACGACGTCTTGAACCAGATTAATAGTTCAGAATGAAATCAGAATGTCCCTAGCTATACTAATTTTCGGGTTAAGTGCAGGAGCTGCTAGATAAACGTTCGAGTTTTATTGCGATGTTTAAACGGTAAACCATCTCTTCCCGTTTTCCTCTGGAGCCCAGCTGCATCATTCCAGCCGTCCTCTTTATTTCTGTTTCAAACGTTAGGTACCATTAATCGGTTATGAAAAGGGAAAACGAAAGGAAAAGGCATAGCATGCCTGCGGTGTGTGGGATGGCCGCTGGGCGGAATTTGGGAGCAGCTGTTGTTTGTATCTTCCATACCTTCTGTTGTTGGTATGGGCGCTATGACAGGAGTAGACCACGGGCTTACTTTCTCTCGAGTCTGTTCTACGATGGTTCGGTGAAAACGAATCCAGCATCTGTTAGACGGAGCCGAGTAATTTTGCGTCGAACACTGGATACCTGGATGGCTGATAGGCAGGGTAATTTGTATCGATAAATGGTAGATGGTTGTTTATCCCCTCCCCCACTTGGCACTTATCGAAACTGCATCTTCCCGTAGAAGATGAGTCTTGGGGGAAAACGCAATGTCTGTCATTTATTAGCATATAAAACGACGGGATAAGTCTGCCATTCTCTTTCGCATGCTCCCGCTATGGCCATTTACCCTGGTTTGGAACACTTGGTTCGGTTTAGAACTTAAGTCATTTTCTCCCCCTTAGCTGAGTACGACCAAGAAATTGGTAAGTGGGGATGCTGCCATGAACATTCCAGTACCTCTTTCGCACTTTTTGTGGCACGGTTAGTCTAGACATTTTTTTTGTGCAACCCGAATGCATGCGTTATTTTGAGCCATGAGGCACACCGCGCACAACATTGCGAGCTGGATGTAATAAGCATTTGTCTCCTCTTTCCACAATTACCCTTACCGATGGAGATCACCCAGCATGACGTAAAATTCGTCGTTCAAAATAGCTACCTACATTCATGCACTTATTTTGCAAATGCTCGGTCATTTGAATATATGCGTACTCAATAGATTAATTATCTTGTCGTTGGTCGGTTTAAAGTAGGTATAGACGCATGTCTGGAATGCCTATATTTGAACCATTGTGGTGCGCGGTGATTTTGATTTTTTTCTGCGAATGAATACATTGCCAGCATTGCTTTTTGGATCATGACACCATATTCTTTCCTTTTGTAGCCATTTCTTGTGCATGCGTATGATAATGGTCTGCAGATCGGTGGGAAGCGACTTGGTGCCCGTTCATTAGCAATTTAAGTCCCTCCCGACCGATCACGGGCGCAGCCCTTTGCATTGTGCAATGTGCCGACTCTGGGCCTCTGAAAAAGTCGCCATCTCGTAAGGTCACCACTCACCACCTGCTCAGAAAGCCGACCGCCCGAACCGGGGTGACGTAGCGCGCGACCCGGCGGGCCAATGAAGGGCGACGGACTGAGTCATAAACTGACGGCCCCAGCCCGGTCGTAACCCAGTCCAATGTCGCGGCGACATGCCAGGGGCAGGGGTCACCGCTGAGTTGTGACAGAGACACAGTTGCTGATGACCTCTAGTGTCGCCGGCGGGCTAATCGTGGTTAATGGCTGCTCTATTTCGGTTGAATTCTTATCGTCTGTTTGCGGCACCATGCATCATAGTAGATCACTTCTTCATTACATTTGATCATCGTTGCAGTGTTTCGATGTTTCTTCATCACTCACCGCATTTATTCCATTTGAATAACGCTAAGCTATCTAGTGAAATAGCACGCCTTATGCTAATATTTATTCCCTACTGACGTCACTGACGCCCAGCCTCCCTCATGACGTCACTAACGCCCTGCCGTCCACAGTGGCGCTGGACCTGGCGACGCAGCGGGTTAGTTTCAAGTCTGACCGGCGGCACACGCTGTGCGAGCCGCCCATGTCTCGCTCCCGGCCGGGCTCGGCACTGTCGGACCGTAGCTCGGGCAGCGAGGAGACGCCGCTGCCGCACCAGCCCGGCAGTCATGTGGCCTCGGAGCTACAGAGACAGTTCCTCGCCTCGGTAAGTCAGACAAACGCGCCGCGGAAAGGTTAACACGGGTGGAGGAATATGATAAGTACTTCTTAGTCTGTCACTTTAATATGCCACTTGTACTTAAGGATTTACCTAGAAATAAGTCAGACTGTCGTATTATGGGTGCTTCCGTTGTCGATTTATGGCTGCTTTCAATATCAATGGGGCGACATGGACTGCCTGTCTCTGTCTCTATTCTGACGCCGTCTCCATGTCCCCGTTTTCAGTCCCAGTGGAGCGGCATGGACCGTCTGTCTCTATTCTGACGCCGTCTCTATGTCCCCGTTTCCAGTCTCAGTGGAGCGACATGGACTGTCTCTCGCTGACGCTGGACGAGGTGGTCCACATCCGCTCGGTCCTCACCAAGGCCGAGCTGGACTCCCTGCCGGTCGAGTGTCACATCAAGGAGGACGTGGCGCGAGGCAAGCTCTGCTTCCTCTGCATGAAGACGCGCTTCTCCTTCTTCGGCGCCAAGGGCAACAACTGCCGGCTCTGCCAGCGGGTTGTGTGCGCCAAGTGCTGCGCAAAGGTTAGTCACGGAGACATGATAGCGAAAAGCGATCACACTTTGTGACGGGGAAGGCTGAACGAACGCTGAACAGCCTGTCGGCTGCTGTTTTTTATACGGGTTTTGTGATAAATCCTCGTTCGCATGGATTATTCGCCCGGTACCAATATTATCTCTATCTCATGCTTTCTCGGTCTCATGGACGTCACAAATACCTAACGAGCTTTATGCGAGCTATTTGGTTCGAATCAGGGTCATTCAGCAGATGGACTGAAGTGCATTGTTTTTACGTTGATGACCCCATTCGTCGTTAGTCGTCACACAATGCGCCATTGAAACAATCGGAAAGAGAAAGTGATGTGTGTCATGCGATTGATTACCTTTGATGATATTTGATTGCTTTCGATGATCAAAAATGATTTGCCAATAAGATAGGTAAATGAATTTGTAAATGAGTTGTTAACAAACAAAATAAGTGCCGTCTCGCTTCATGTCTCGAGAATTATTTGTTTCGTTATACGATAGGATATCTTTAACCTTTTTACGATGTCAGTAGACGCAAAAAAGAAATCTCATAATCCCTGTGATTCGTCCGACCCATGCGTCCCGTCTGACCTCGCTCCTTTTCTCCATGACCTCGATCTGACCCTTGCACCACGTCTGACCTCCATGACCCCTATGACCCCGTCTGACCTCCCTGACCCCTGTGACCCCGTCTGACCTCCCTGACCCCTGTGACCCCGTCTGACCTCCCTGACCCCTGTGACCCCGTCTGACCTTTCTGACCTCTCTGACCCCGTTCCATATACAGGCCTCTTTGACCTCTGTGACCCCGTCTGACCTCCCTGACCTCTCTGACCCCGTTCCAGATGCGGATACCGACGGAGCACTTTGCCAGCATTCCGGTGTACACGCTCACGCCATCGTCCCTGTCGCCGCAAGAAGAGGAGGCTCGCTCCCTGCTGTCGCGACTACAGGTGCCCGAACTGCCCAACTTTACCTCCTCAGGTGAGAGCGGGCGCTAGACGACTGTCATTAGCCGTGCGCTGATGGAGGGAGGGGGATAGAAGTCGCATGATCGCGCCATCGGGGGAAAATACTGTAACGGCAGACATGCGTTGCAGAATGGATATTCGCTAGCAGTGTTGTGTTTTATGGTCATTTGAACAATGCATTTACTTCAATGTGCAATTCAGACCAACATTCTTTGTAACTCCTTGACTCTCGAGCTGGGTTAGCTTTAGAAGCGATTAAGCGTGTGGCAATGTTTTCTTTCTACAGGGAAATCGGCACCAATGGGATTAAAGTTATACCTGCAGAGAGGTTTTCCTTATCACGCGCCCAAGCTTTGTATAACTCCAAAACACTTGATCACGTTCTCTAGCAGAATAATGCGGTGCCATTGGTGCCAATGTGCTCGTTATTGTGCTCGTGATCCGGCGGTACCCTGACTGAGACTGATGTCGTGCCGCAGGCTCTGGGGGCTCGCCCACGTCTCCGGCCAACTCCCGGGACAGTCCTGAGCAGCAGTGCCAGAGCCTGCCGCCTCAGCCACTGCTGCAGCAGGTGGAGTCCAAACTCAGACGGTGAGTTCACACTCCTCCGAGTGGTATCTGCATACACTCCTAACTCAGATCAGCACCGGGGGTATGTGTCTTTAGGCTCTGCTAAATCTGTAACGTGCTCTGTAATAAGCTTAACTGAGTTTGTGCTATTTCTAGACCTAGAGATTATTTTAAAACGGTGAGGATAACGCCTGTCGTCAGCTTTGGTCTAAAAATAGGCCCCAAACTGCTGGCTTGGTCGGCTGGTCGATGTGGGGCCCTGGAGTCGGGTGACGGACGACGATCTATTAGGCTGGGGTCGATCCCGTCAGCTCGCTACCAAAGCAGATCAGACTGGGAACAGGCCGTCCTAGATTGACTAGGGCTCAGCCCAGAACGTCGATCAATGGACTAATAATGAACGTTACACTGGAACGGGTGACCATTAAGACGCGCCCAAACAGTGTTGCTACTTCCATGATAGAAATAAAAACGCTAAACGGACGTTACTCGGACTAAAGATGTCGCTCATGCGATCGTGGCCGTTCGGTACCTGACTTGGTCGAATAGCACGCTGCTCAGCTCCGGCGCTGGTTCGCCTCACGCTGGGCTGGGCCCTGGCGTCGGCTGCCCGTGCCCGCTGGTTCCCATTGGTGGTCCGCCGCTGAACGATATGAAATCGATAAATTTCGCAGCGGCGCTGAAATCCAGGCTGCCCAAATGAAACCGTCCTTTTTATGACGTGAGCTTTTCCGCAATTTACGCGATAGCTTAAATTGAGTCTTGTTGCGGTGTTTTTGCTGGTGACACTTTCCGTTGTTTTTATCTCGTTTTAACGCCTCATTAGCTGCCTGCCTGTAAGCCCCGCCGGTTTCCCTTCTATGTTCCATGCTGACCACATGCCGTCACCGACAGGACCCGTCTGTACCGGTCACGGACTCTGGCGCGGCCCGAGGACCTCGAATCGCCGCGCTCTTCGGAAGGCGACCGGGACGACCTCGGAGGTGTCCTTATGACCGTCTGCAAGGACTGCAAGGCCATGGTGCTGCACATCATCGGCACCTGGAAGAAGCGACGCGACCGCTCCAAGCGCGCCTCGGCGCCGGCGAGACCGCGCTCCCTGTTCATCGCGGCCGTCCGCTGAGCGGTCAAGGTCGGCCGAGCCGCCCGCTGATTGGCTGCCGGTGAGCCGGGCCGCCCGCTGATTGGCTGCCGGTCAGCCGTGACGCCCGCTGATTGGCTCCCATCGGCCGGGGTGGCAGGACAGGGCGCGGTGGGCGCCGGAGCTGCGCCCCAGGGCGTCAGCCTGCTTCTAGTCGCTGTGTGCGGTCGGACGGATTCCCGACGAATGTGTCGTCGTCGTCGGCGTCGGCGTGTCAGATCACGTGACGTGCTGTCTTTGTCGACCGGTGTTCGCAATGTGTACCTGGATTTTTGGTTGCCAAATGGCCGTCTTGCGCGTGTTGAGCGGATGAACGATACACCGCCTGGATGAACGTGTGATGTGCGTGTATGATGTTGTTCTTGTTGATTTAGAGTGATGAGTAAGCATTAACATGTGTAGCAGCGTCGCGGGTCTGCTGCGGCGGTGGCGTTCAGAGTGACGTCATCGTGATGTGCCGCTGAAGCGAGTGGCCCTGCGGTCTGCGTGGCGCCCCTAGGAACGCGACATTGCGACATGTGATACTGTAGGCGCGGACAGGGCAGTGTACCGGGGCCGGCGTGCTCCCGAACATCCCTTGGACCGTTGTAACCTGCTGCCATCTTTCTTCTTTTTCTTCTACCGTACCGTCAGCCATTGGCGCAATATTTTGTGGGTGGGGCTGTATACCAGCGGCAAATATTTGAATTAAAACCGGTGTCGCAGCTCACGGTCATTTTACATTTACACTAGTTATACTCATTCAGCGTCGCGTCGCATAGGCCTGTCGAATTCCTGTCGGCTTGCATCTGGTCATCGCTGCGTGATTTCAATCATTTTGTAGATGTGCAAGGAATGACATGTTCAGAAATTAATTGAAAAAGAACGGCACTAAATTTGGATCAAAATTAAAATCACTGATAAGTAAATGCCTGTGAACTGATTTCGTCCATATCGCCCCACGTGATATTTTAGTTCATGTTGTGACGAGCAGCATCGAAATCCAATCCCATCTCATTCTGCCAGGATCCCTCGATTGCGGCCTCGCCCCGGAGTTTGGCTAGAGCGTGCTTCGTGCTCCGTTCGCTGAGACGGTGCTACGTTCCTGCCCACCCGGTCACATAGCTGCTACGCATAAACGGCATCAACAGCAGGGGGCGGGCTCCGTGCTATTTTACTGCCGAAAGCCTGTCCTCCCGCGGACTCGTCTGGCGCAAAATGCCCCCCTGTTGAGTCTCGAACCCCCGCTCGGCCATCTCCCCCAGTCATGTCGCTGTGTTGCTGTTATTAGCGCGGCCGACGTCTGGTGATGCCCGTTACTTTCTTCCGCTTCTGCCTTGTGTCTCTCAATCTGCGTTTATTGTACATTTACATATTTTACTGTTTCTGATAGATATGCTGTCTCCATCGTGCTTGTATATAATATCTAAATATTGGATTTAACAATAAAATATTTGTTGTTGAGGCGCATTTTCTCGGCTACCGAACGAATCAGCGGCATATAAGGAAATCTCTGGTATACGGCGCCTGGCGCCATAAGTTGTGGCAGAGCGGTATCGTTCGTGCAGATTACTGATCAGCACGGAAAAGTCTGGGTTAGCAACTTATACGGCCTTGGGGTTAGCACGAGGCCCATGCCGTGCATGCAGGCCTTCGTCCACCTGCACTGTCATAACCATAGGATCATTTCGGGCCATGTGGGACCAGTCCCGGTCAAATGGGATCAGCTGTTGGAAATAGGTCATATATTTTCCCTGTGGCTCATTGCCACCACACTACCTACTGGACTTCAAAGTCAAAACGTTTGAATAAGAAAAAAAAAACATATCGGGGTGACAAGAGCTGTATGTCCAAACGGCGATGAGGTGCTGGGGGCTGGGGCGTTTTCAAAAGTGCTAGTGAGCGGGAGGGAGAAGGCGAACTGAGCGCTGGCCTGGGTTGGGTGTCTGTCCGGCGGTAACTTACATTGGTAGGCACTGATGGGTCTAAACAGAGCATTTAGGGCGCAGCTCCCCATTGAAACGTTCGAAAAGGCAACAATTTCCCGTTTACTCTGATTGAACGAAAAAATGAACACTTCTGAGAAAACGTTAGGGTTCATTTCTATAACAACGTGATAGAGCAAATGTGATCCGAGGCCGTCTCACTCGTCTGTACCTACAGATCAGAGAGGGGGGATATGAAATTTTAAAGAAACTGTTTGGGGCAAATGCACCCCACCCATGCAGCGTCCAAGAAGACCGCCTCACTGGATCCGCTAGTGACGGCCTGGTTACATACAAAAACTGCAATAGCTCCTCGTTATGGTGAAGAGTCATACAAATCATATTAACTAAGAAAAATAGTCCAAAGTTTAACTTTTCAAGGAACAAAGTACAAATCATACCGCATTTTAAGCACTATGACGTCAAATACAGTTCAGAATTGCTCTTAGAAATGACAAAATGTCCTTAGTTGAATTAAGCTGTATAACAAAAAATGCTGGTCAAACAAAATAATGTGTTAAATCTTTTTATTGTAAATTTTGCTGACAATTCATATTTTTGGTGCAATGACGTCATTGGCTACACGTGAGCAGGAATAAAAGAGTAAGGGATCAAATATCGCAAAGCTGACTCGTCTCGTATATAATTGTGACGCGCCCGCGACAATTCTAAACATTGTGCCGTAGTCCGCGTTGGGGGCGGATGCAACTGTGAGAGGTCTATATTGTTATGCAGTCGGATTAATTAAGTTAGATTACTGATGGTTTACCACAAAAGTACTCACGGATTCAAAGTTCCTATACAAAGAAATGCCAATCAACACATTGCCTGAATGGATTTATTTTTACCAACCTTGAGCATGTCTTTCATATTTGTATATCGTGCGCCATTACTGTCTGCGTGTGTTTGTGGAGTTGGGTTTATGACGTCATTTGCGACTCCGGTTTGCGATTGGACGTGAGGTCGGCCCACTACGATCCGAGGTCATGTTAGGTCAGATTTGCGGGCCCGCGCCAGTCGTGTCCTCAGCTCCGCAGTGAGTGGTGACCCGTGGAGTGCTGTCAGCTGTGCGTGGACGGAGAACCGCGGCTTGGGCAAGTGGACGATTCTGTACAGGTGAGGTTGTTGCTGCCTACTGATGGTAACAGTGGGAGCGCTGGGTACGGTTGTTCGTCCTGCTCCTGCCTACTGATGGGAACAGTAGGCGGTAGGATAACGGGGCAGTAAATATAGTCCACTGTGTAAGTATTCCTGTATTTGGGGTCCGTGGAGGAGGGGAACGGTAGCAGTGAACCCTGGGCTCGGTAACACTGGTGTCAGAAGTTTTTTTTTCCTGTTTCTCCCTGATACCGCCGGTGGTGTTCCTACCTATTGATTCCAGCTATCGATGTGCTCAAACTTGGCATGATGACTGACGACAAACGCGTGACACGAAGCCAAACGGCGGAGATGGAGACAAAGACGACTGGAACTCGGGAAGAAGCCAGTACACTTCAACAAGTATCCGAGGTGGTGAAACAGCAGCTCAGCGAGCATGCATTACAACTGCACGAATCCTACGGCAAGAGAATGGACAACATCGAATCCATCCTTAGGGACTTGGGGGAGTTGGTCGCGTCATCTCGCCAGGACAGGAATCCTGTTGTCGCTGTTGATACAGCAACAACTCGGGTTCTTCAAGATGGGGGCGAGAATCATCAACCAGCTCCTAAAGGTGACGCTGTAGGGCGTAAACCCCAGGACTTCGATGGATCGGCTTCATTGGCCGCCTACCGAGCGCAGTTCGAGCTCATTGCGGCTAGCAACGGGTGGTCCACACACAGGAAAGCGGTTGAATTAGCCGCGAGTCTCAAAGGTCCGGCACTGGAAGTGCTGGCATGTGTGCCTCCAAATCACCTGGAAAATTATGAAGCATTAACAAATGTCTTAGAGCAGCGCTTCGGATCTGCACATCAGGAGCACCTCAATCGCGCCAGGCTAAGGAACCGAACCCGTGGTGGCAACGAGGGCCTGCAAGAGTTGGCATTGGACGTGGATCGACTTGCTCACTTGGCTTATCCCGGAGCTCCGCCGGACTTCAGGGCGACAGTCGCCTGTGATCAGTTTATTGACGCCCTGGAAGACACGGACATGCAAATGACCGTAAGACAGGCGAAACCAAGCAGCCTGCGCGACGCACTAGCTGCTGCCCTAGAATACGAGTCTCTAAGACGTTCCCTCAAATCATCACATAGCCGCCAGAGCAGTGGTTTCGGCAACCGCCAAGCCAGTGTGGAAACACAGAGTCCATCGAATTTGGAAACGAAGCTCGATGCTATTCTCTCTCGGATCCAGCAGCTTGAAGCTGCGAACCGCAAGCCGGCAGGACGTCTGGACAACAGGAGACAAGTGGGACTGGGGCCATGCTGGAACTGCAACAAAATGGGTCATATCAGACGAGACTGCAGACAACCCAGTAGGATGTCAACCTCTGGGTCTTCAAGTGGTCAGGGAAACGAATGAGGGTCGACCTCGAGGGGCAGCGGTCGGCCGGCGCTGAAGAGTCCCACGATTGTGTCCGGAGACCAGAACCCCCTGACTGTGTGCGGGTGGATGGCTGGGTTGGCGGCCGGCGGATGTCGATACTTGTCGACACAGGGTCGAATCGCACACTGGTCCGTAGCGACGTCATACCCGGTGTGGACCCTCCATCAGTGCCGGGGGGACTCTGTGACGTAACGGGACGCCGCACTGGATTGAGAGGGCCCGTGGAAGTTGAAGTGGCCCTCGGTAAACAAACATCACGCCATGCAGTATTCGTGGCGGAAGAGCTGGAAGAACGCTGCATCCTTGGCCTAGATTATCTGTCGGCCCACAACTGCCAACTGGATTTGAAAAAAATGACACTTCAGGTGGACAACTCAACGATTCCACTGACGGAAACACAGCAAGACACTCCCAAAACGTACCGTGTAGTAGTTCGTAGACAAGTACGCATCCCGCCCAGAACAGAACAGTTGGTGGAGTGTAAGTCGTTGGACACAATCGATGGCCACCAAGTGCTAGTTGAGGGTGCAAGTGGTTTGGCCGACGGAATCATGGTAGGAAGGTCTCTGGTAAGGAACAAGTCACGCCTTCCAATACTGATCGGCAACCTCTCCGACAGACACATCAGACTTAAACCGGGCACAGTCATCGGAACAGGTGAGGATGTCTCATGTGGAAATGTTACTGTTCACGGCTCTTATTCAACCCATACAGGAGGTGTAGCATTACCCGATGATGTCCAGGAGCTGCTCAGCCGCTGCAGTGACACCCTCACGGATGCACAGGTGAGAGAGGTCGAGACTCTGCTGTTCGAGAACAGTGACATCTTTTCAGAAGGTGACCATGACTTGGGATCTACAGATTTGACGGAACACCACATCAAAACAAACAACCACCGCCCCATCAAGATCCCTCCTCGGCGTATCCCACTGGCGAAGCGAGAGGAGGCCGAAAGGTTGGTGAGCGACATGGCTCAACAACGCCTGATTGAAAAGTCAGCCAGTCCGTGGTCCTCTCCGCTGGTGATGGTGAAGAAAAAAGATGGATCCTTGAGATGCTGCGTCGACTATCGGGCCCTGAACGAGATCACCCTGAAGGACTCATACCCCCTGCCTAGGATCGACGATACGCTGGATGCTCTGGCTGGAGCAAAATGGTTCTCGACACTCGACTTGAAGTCTGGCTACCATCAAGTGAAGATGGCAGAACACGACAAAGAGAAGACAGCTTTCTCGTGTGGAGGCGGCCTTTGGCAATTTCGAGTCATGCCGTTCGGCCTCTGCAATGCTCCGGCAACGTTCGAGAGATTGATGGAGGCGGTGCTGGCGGGTCTTCACTGGAAATCACTACTAGTGTACCTGGATGACGTCATCGTGTTTGGTAACACCTTCAGCGAGGAGCTTCAACGTTTGAAGGAGGTCTTCCAGCGATTCCGCGCAGCCAACCTGAAGCTGAACCCAAAGAAGTGTCATCTCTTCCAAAGGAAAGTGGCTTACCTCGGGCACGAGGTGTCCGAACAAGGTGTCTCTACTGATCCAGCCAAGGTGCGGGCAGTCAGCGAGTGGCCGGTGCCGACTAACATCACCGAACTACGCAGTTTCCTAGGGCTGTGCACTTACTACCGTCGCTTTGTGAAGGGCTTCGCTGAATTGGCAGCTCCATTGCACCGTCTGACACAAAAAGGACAACGATTCGAATGGAACGCCTCATGCGAAGAGGCCTTCCAGAAGCTCAAAGGAGCTCTTACTAGTACGCCCGTACTCGCCTATCCGGAAACAAAGCTGCCATTCATCTTGGACACCGATGCCAGCGCGTGCGGCATTGGGGCCGTGCTATCCCAAAACTCCGACCAAGGAGAACGGGTCATCGCATATTTTAGTCGATCCCTATCCAAACCTGAGCGAAATTACTGCGTCACACGACGAGAGCTCTTAGCTGTCGTAGAAGCCATCAAACACTTTCATCACTACGTGTATGGGGCCCACTTCACTGTGAGAACTGATCATTCGGCACTTCGCTGGCTTCGAACCCTAAAGGAACCAGAGGGACAGCTAGCTCGTTGGTTGGCGCGTCTGGGGCAATACGACTTCGAGATTGCCTACAGACCTGGAACAAAGCATGCGAATGCAGATGGCCTCAGCAGGCGACCATGTCACGGTGCCTGCCGACACTGCACGAAGTATGATTCCCTCTCGGTATCGCGACATACCCACATAGAATCATCTCGAAAGGAAAACGAGGACACCGCTCCGTCGAGTGCCTTTAACATTCGCAGTGCCCAAGCACAGGACCCAGACATTTCGCCAGTTCTGTCACACCTACGCGTCGACAGCTCAAGACCCACAGCAGACGAGATATCAGGAGCAAGTCCCACCACAAAACACTACTGGGCGCAGTGGAGCATGCTCAGGATCAACGATGGCGTGCTGGAGCGCCGTTGGGAGTCTGTTGACGGCGTGACCAGCAGATGGCTGGTGGTGCTTCCAAGAGAACTCAGGCACCGGGTGATGGTGGAACACCATGACGCGCCGACTGGTGGGCACTTCGGTGTGAAGAAGACTCTACAACGCCTCAGACAGCGCTTCTACTGGGTTGGTATGCGGAACGATGTTTCGGAGTGGTGCCGCGTCTGCACCGTCTGTTGTGCCAAGAAGGGACCGCACACCGTTCAGCGAGCACCGCTGCAGCTCGTCCTTGCGGGAGCCCCCATGGAAAGGGTGGCTGTAGATATCACGGGTCCCCTACCACTTTCGGCGAATGGCAACAAGTACATATGCGTTGCAATGGACTATTTCACCAAATGGCCCGAGGCTTACGCCATACCAAACCAGGAAGCCACTACCGTGGCTGGAGTGCTGGTGGACAACTTCTTCACCCGCTTCGGAATGCCCAACGAGCTCCATTCCGACCAGGGAAGAAACTTTGAAAGCGCCGTTTTCAAAGAGTCGTGCAGGTTGCTGGGGATACGGAAGACGAGGACTACGCCCCTTCATCCGCAGTCCGACGGCATGGTCGAACGCTTCAACCGAACGCTGGGGCAGGAACTGTCCAAGTTCTGCAAAGAGGGCCAAGATGAATGGGACACGAAACTACCTATGGTCCTAATGGCCTATCGTTCCGCAGAGCACGAAACCACGGGGTACACTCCGGCTCAGATGATGACTGGTCGAGAGATGCGCCTCCCCATCGATCTGATCACCGACGCCCCACCTACCGATGCGAGGCATGACTCATGTCAAGACTTCGTGCGAGAGCTGAAGCACCGCCTCGGGGAGATTCACAAACAGGTCCGATCACACCTCCGGCTGAAGTCCGACGCAATGAAGCTTCGGTATGATGCCAAGGCGAGTCAATCTGTTTTACAACCCGGTGACAAGGTATGGCTTTTTAATCCCCGGCGTAAAAAGGGACTCTGTCCTAAACTCATGTCTGACTGGGAAGATGGCTATGTGATCATCAACCGGCTTTCCGATGTCACGTATCGCATTCGGACAGCCAGGGGGAAAGCGAAAGTAGTTCACATCAACCGATTGTGGAAACACGCAGAGTCTCCCCATTTCACGTGGAGCGACAACTCAGTCCCCGGGGTGGCCAGTACGAGCCCCTCCGAGAGTGCGGATATACAACCACCCCAGTCAGCGGATCCCAGAGTCCAGTCTCCCGATGCTAACGGGGACACGGACAACGCGGGTCCAGGGAACAGTTCCGCGGGTGGTTCACGCCCGAGTACACGGTCCAGAACTCGCAGGATGCCAGTACGTCTGGCCGATTACGTTCTGTAAGGCATGTAAATAGTGTGGGACTGTGCATGCACGTGTGTATGTGTGCGTGTGTTTGTGTCTGGTCAAACAGTTATGGGCAAAACGCTCTAGACCCCCAGAGTTCTAGCACCTGTTTTTTTCTCTTTTCTCTATAACCAGGCATATGGACCGGCCAAACGTCGACAGCTGGGAAGACATCTTAGATATATCCGACCCGGACCAGAGGCAGTGGCTGGCGGCACAAGAGTCGACCTTCCCCGATGACAACGGCGGAAGGCTCCATCTGTTCCTGGGTGATTCTATCGCGCGCGATGCACAGGTGAGCGTGTCCAGCCCGGACTTCCTTTTCAATCGCACCCGAGGAGGAGATTCCTGGAAACGTCTGTGTCGTCGCATCGCCCAGGAGCTGCAAGACTGGCGCTGCGCTGCTGAAGGTTTCAGGCTGTCAACGGGTCGAGTTTGCATCTGGATGACAGGTAACGACATTTATCCAGACGGAGACCCGGAGAGGAGGCGCCGACAACTGGCTGTGTTAAAAGACAATATAACAGTAGTAATCGACGCTGTCCTCGAGCACTGCACGGAGGTGGACATTGTAGGCCCTCTCCCCCGCCTCCGCTATGACACCGGAAGGGCGTGGGAGCAGTGCCCGGCGTTCCACGCCGAGAAAATGTCGCTAGCCAACTTCCACGACAAGGCGACGCACTGGCTTGTCGGCAGGGCTCTCACAACCTACAAAAGAAGGAGGCACGTCGTCAGCGATTCTAGTAATCGTTTTTACGGCCGCGATGGGATCCACCTCTCAGAGGAGGGGTACGACCGTCTCCTGCATAGGCTGCCCGAGTGGCTCCACCGGTCCTAGGTGCATGAAATGGCTCGTTTTTTTTGTGCTCTCTCCCTATCTCTTCTTCTTCGTGGGCGAAGAACGTTAGGGGGGGGGGTAGTGTTATGCAGTCGGATTAATTAAGTTAGATTACTGATGGTTTACCACAAAAGTACTCACGGATTCAAAGTTCCTATACAAAGAAATGCCAATCAACACATTGCCTGAATGGATTTATTTTTACCAACCTTGAGCATGTCTTTCATATTTGTATATCGTGCGCCATTACTGTCTGCGTGTGTTTGTGGAGTTGGGTTTATGACGTCATTTGCGACTCCGGTTTGCGATTGGACGTGAGGTCGGCCCACTCAGGGTATATTGAATTAGGGGGTAGGACCAAGTTTAGTAGGCATGATCTCAGCAATTATCTTGTTTTATATGGCGCTCTTCATTATCACAATATTATTTTTGATATCATGAAGTTTGTATATCTCGGTTTTACGAAAAATAGTAGGGCAACAAAGATAAATTTCGCAAAAAAATAATTTTAGTTGGAAACACCCATTCTGGTATGCAAAATTCAGTATGAAGCCCAGTATGGTGAACTTCTAGTGTGCTTCCAAGGCTGAGTATCTGATATCAACAGAAGTTGTTTACTATTTTGCCTTACGTTGCTAGGTGGTTGCTAGGGAGCTAAGGATACTCTCTTGTGCGATCATTTGCATTTATTTTTCCTCATTATATCCACATATTGCTGTTTCTGAGACCTAACTCATGCTAAGAAAAAAGCAGTTTTCTTAAAATGTGTATTTAAGTGCCGTAGTATTAACACAACTCTGCAATTCTGCTTAAATATCTGCAAAATCCTGACTTTCCGGAAAATTGCTGGTGGTAATGGGGATCGAGCCCGTCGATGAAAAGTAAGTCAATATTCAGAGGCTTCAAAACGTTATTTCTTGTTGTTCTGTGAAATAGCAATACAAAGACCGATGAAAGTGCCAGTGTTGAGCTTTCCAATGAAGCATTGCAATTAGTAGTAAGGTTATTATCACCTAAGATATCTTCCATCAAATATTAGAAATCTGCCATTGCCTTGCTGTAGAACAGGGTTACTTTCAGTCTCTTGGGAACACGATTTGCCGGTCTCAGATCGATAAACACTTCAAAAAGCGGAAATAGACAATGAACTTTCCCACCTGTTAGCATCTCGGGTTTTTACATATCCTGTCTATAATTTTCATAAATCAGACGTAAAAATGGCCAATTTTGTCAGATTCCGAATTTTTGCCATTGGGTCTAATGTAAAGCATGGCTACTTTCAGTCTCTTGGGAACACGATTTCCGTACCTCAGATTGAAAAACACTTCAAAAGTCGCAGATAGTCGACGATTTATTCTACAAGATAGCATCTCGCTTTTTTCTGTATCTGGTCATGTATCTTCATAAAACCCTCTCAAATATAGTCAATTTAACATTAAAGTCTATGGATTTAGAAGAATGTTCATATCCGACTAGATTTGGGCTACCATGTCTGTTGACCGGGGGCCGGGCCCACTACGATCCGAGGTCATGTTAGGTCAGATTTGCGGGCCCGCGCCAGTCGTGTCCTCAGCTCCGCAGTGAGTGGTGACCCGTGGAGTGCTGTCAGCTGTGCGTGGACGGAGAACCGCGGCTTGGGCAAGTGGACGATTCTGTACAGGTGAGGTTGTTGCTGCCTACTGATGGTAACAGTGGGAGCGCTGGGTACGGTTGTTCGTCCTGCTCCTGCCTACTGATGGGAACAGTAGGCGGTAGGATAACGGGGCAGTAAATATAGTCCACTGTGTAAGTATTCCTGTATTTGGGGTCCGTGGAGGAGGGGAACGGTAGCAGTGAACCCTGGGCTCGGTAACAATATAATTTTTAATTACAGTAATTGTCAAGCAAGCGAAGATGCAGCTCTCTGGGGTAATAGATGGAGTAAGTTGAATGCTGACTTATTTTGGATGCAAATGTAGTCCAAGTCTGTTAATTTGAAATCATTAATTAAAATTCCCAAAATTAATAATTTTTGGAAATAATCGCCACTTTTCATGTGCTTTAACAATGTGTCGTGATTACGTCGCATTAAACGATTCCGTTTTAGTTTGTAGCATGCGCCCAGGCGTCCCCCACCTGTGCAGGTTTTGCCCTAACTGCGAGTGTTTTCTCACCTCCAATTTATTGATATTCATTCCAGATCGGCCCGCCCCTAGCTTTTGCCACGGCTCTTACAATTTACATGGTTTTTCAAGATTTTTTTTTAAAGTTGCAGACTGTGCAGTGTATTAGCTGCTATAAATATTTCAGTAAAATACCACAGTGTAGGTAGTTATATAATTTCTGCTTATTCTGTTAAATGACTTTGAAGGTAATCAAGGTATTGTAGATATCTTTTGATACCTATTTGAAAGTTTGCATAGTGTCATATACATAATGTGTCAATTTTCAGCATGTAGGTAAATTTTGTGTGTCAATCTCTCTCTCCCTCTCCCTCTCTCTCTCTCTCTCTCTCTCTCTCTCTCTCCTCTCTCTCTCTCTCTCTCTCTCTCTCTCTCTCTCTCTCTCTCTCCCTCCCTCTCCCTCTCCCTCTCCCTCTCCCTCTCCCTCTCCCTCTCTCTCTCTCTCTCTCTCTCTCTCTCTCTCTCTCTCTCTCTCTCTCTCTCTCTCTCTCTCTCATAATTTGCCTATAATTTTCCAGATGAAGTCATTTGAAAAGGCAACTATTAAAATGAAGGATCCTGCAAAGGTGGCCAACATGGTCAGTCAGTTGGTTTCTGAAGGGCCTTCAAAACTTCAGGTAAGTGTGTGTACCACCTTGTGTTGAAATAGAGCTGATTTTTTTTTATCATATGCAATTTGCTGCCTTAGTTTCAGTTGGAACAGAAAAAATAACTAAAGAAATAGGACATCACAAGGATAGGTATTGTGAAACAGTTTGTTGAGGTGTCTCTTCTTCCACTTATCAGGTCATGTCCTTCATTTGCAGGATATATCAATTCAGTTATGTGCGTTATATGCCTCACACCTGTTGAAATGCAGCCAATTAATGTTCCATTTTACCCTGTATATTCTATCACTAACCCTGTGGTCGGGCTGCCATTTTTCGCGTGGAATTTCCGCGACAAGGAATTCCTCACGAAAACGGCTGTTCGGACAAGCACGTTTCGCGGGATCCCGCGAGATTCCTCGCGTTTTAGCAATGCCCGAACGGCTGTTTTCGTGGATAATTTCTCAGCGTGGAACTTCTACGCGAAAAACGGTATATCCGAACGCAGGCTAGGTATGTCACGCGCTGCTCCACAGCGGCCGTGCGGCGGGTGGTCGCCGCGCCGCTGCTGACATTGCCCCACTGTGCCACCGTGCGACCGTGTCCCGACCAGGTGATCCTGGACTTTGACCACACGCTGACCCGTGTGCACGACAACGGCAACAAGTGTGCGTGTACCTGGGGTGAGTACTGACTGCAGACACGGACTGCTGCCGCCGCGGCCGCGCGCACACTCCACGACGGGGATAACCACTCACCCAGACGTGCTACGAAACTTCCACTCACTTTGAATGCATGCTATGCAGCGCACCTACTCACAAATTTCGGTAGTTTCTTTTGTCGTAGAATAGTTTGCACTAAGGCACAGTTTGGTTAGCCTCATGCTTAGGTTTCTTTTGGTTTATTTGGCCATGGTTTGGCGGTTTGGCTTGTGCCGATCTGTGTGGCATGCATTCAGCAGTGACGGTGAGGTTTCCTGGCACGTGCCGTTGTAGTCGCTGCTCCTCCGCAGACCTGCGCCGGTCGCCGCACTGAGCCGCCGCCACGGGCCCGCGTTTCAGGTAGTCACCGACTTTGATCGCACATTGACTCGCACCCGGGGAGAGGCCGGAGAGCGGATAGCTGACACCTGCTATGGTAAGGCCCGCAGAGGTCGCGCCGAGCCGAGCCTCCCCCGTTCGACCGCGCCTGCTCGCCTGCTTGCGGTCGGGGCGTCGCGGCACGCCAGCCTGCTGGGATGACCGGTTCTGGGCCTGCGACTGACCGAACTGAATCCGAATGGCGAGGGATATGGAAATGCTAATATGGTGCACAAGGGGGTGACGGGCAAGGGAACCCATTAGCACCCTGTAAGTGCATGTCTGATGATTGTTTTCGCTATGTATGGTTCTTGTACTTGATTAGTTTACACTGAAATGTATGCAGTGTATTTTCAATTACCAACTCAAACAATTCAAAAGTTTTTGTATGTACATACAAGGTGACTTGAGCTGCATATGGGTTTGCAATGTCTTTCGCTCGGAGCCGTGAAATAATCCTCTACATCCTGGATATATATTGTTAGAAAAAAGTGTTTTATGCTACGGCAATTAACCCGCGCCCCGTTGGGCTCTGCCGAGCAACGCGCCCCGTTGGGGGGGGGGGGGGGGGGGGCATTTTGCCCCCCCCCCCCTAAGATCTCGAGAACCACGCAACCTAGCGACAAGCGGCAAACGGTGTTGGATAGCCCTATCAGGGGACTACCTTGTGACCCAATTTTATTGACCTAGGTCAAACCGATGACGTCACAGGTCAGGTCAAAGGTCCAATTTTCACCGTTTACAGGCATTTCAAGAAATGCGTTGTAAAATCGAGTAAAATGCATTTCATTGAAGATCATCGATGGGGAAATGTTCTTAAAACACATATTTTGCTATTTGAGGTCACTGATACCAGGTCAGGTCACAGAGGTCAGGTCACAATATGAAAGTGTCGTGTGATACATGTTTTATGGTCCATTTTACATGACGAATGCGATTATGTGGGTCAGGCAGCCTTTGGGGCCAGCTTAGGTCACGTTTTGGTCAAGGTCAGGTCAAATTAGGTCAAATTTCAAAGTTAATATTTTTGCATAAAATGGGTATCGAATCGATGCAGCTTGACACGGGGAGTTCAATGGTGGTCTTTGTTTTGCCGTACGTGGTCTAGAATCGCTAGAAAAATGAGTTCAAAAATTTGACGTCATCATTTTGAACAGTTTTTTAGCTATAACTTGGCCAAAAAATGAGATAGCGATCTGAAATTTGGTATGTATATAGAAGAGCGCAGGGATTATCACATATATTCCGTTTTTTCGAAATTCGGAAAAATTTTGGATTTTTTTTTTAGTTTTTCTAAAAAAAATCATTTTTTTGAATTTTTTGGGGTCATAAACCCAAAATTTTGAAAATCCGAGATAGCAGTTTTGTAGCGCTGCTTTTTGTCTACTAGACCATATAAAGAACTTTGAAATTGCTTGATAACGGTAGATTTGGTGAGCGTTTCAAGATTGCATGTTTTTTGCTGATTTTTGCTCGAACATGACCTCAGTTTGACCTCAATAACTCCTGACCTAAGGTGACCTAAGACTTGAAATTTGGTGTTAAGGTGTCAAATTGATGCCCGGGAAGGTACTTAAAATTTGGCGGCGCTGCGCGCCGCCGTTTTCTTGCTATTCAGGAAAAACCACAGGGGGGGGGGGGCCAAAATGCCCCCCCCCCCCCAACGGGGCGAGGGTTATATTGAAAAGACTCGCTTCGCTCACTGCGATCGCTCGCTCGTAATCAACATTTTATACAGCACATATGGTATGTAATAAAAATGAAAAAGAGCTTACTATGCCGGGCTTCGCCCGGCTTCCCTTACACTTAACATACCATAACTTGGAATTAGCTTGTTTTACATAAAATGTGGTTTGTATATCTGAAAATGTAGTAAGTACGCTTTTTTGGACTTTTTATGTAAAAAAAATCAATCGATTCTGTTTAATACCTATGTTATGATATGATTGTGATTTGGTGCGGATTTGGTCAGCTTTGGGAAGTTTGCCAGATAACTCGTCGCGAAAGCGGTTATTGCCATCAGCCTACTCTCGCAGCCAGTAAAGTCTAGCACCATTAGAAAGTTCCGTCACGACGGACTCAATCCACGGCGACACGCCATGATTGGGGTTGGCCGTGACCAGGGTGCCCCACCATTTCTCCTCGAGCTCCGAGGTGGTGCTCAGCAGGGGGTATCCTCCGAGCACCGCGCGAGTGTTCACCCAGGGCACGATGTGCTGGGGCGTTTGGATGCTCAGCGGACCCCAGCTGTCGAACATTTCCATCAGCTCGACGCCCTCGGTCTGGTTGGAGTAGCTGCTGGCCAGGCTGTAGGCGCTCGGAGCGCTCCAGATGCCGCCCCAGCGCTGTCGGCCGCCCACTTCGATCCTGAAATATATAGGCGGGGGTATACCTACTGCGGTACCTATGTACACACTATTCATGTAAACATCGGTACCGGGGTTAGATAGTCGAGTGGTTCATCTGACCTTTACATTTGACACTTTTTGCAATTTACAGCACTGCACTCACAATTTGCAGCAACTTTCCCCAACGGGTTGTCTGATCACGAGCAAGTATAACATGTGCATATCTGACCAAATTTGTGAGCATAATAAGGCCCAAATCAAATGATTTTGGCCTAATTATGCCCCAAGCGAACATAAGCTTTTCACTCCTTGGCAAGAACCGTTTGTGCTTTTTTATTGCATTTTTTTATTTCTACCAGTACCTACCTGCACAAGTGTGATCAATTTTTGAGTAAGTCATTTTAAATCAAAGGAAATTTTAAATGTTAAAAAAGTTAAGATGACAAGATCCAACTATGAAGAATTTGAAACAGATCCCATAACATCGAATCCAGTAGCTGCAGCGCCTACCTGTATTTGAACGGACGTGAAGAGAGTCGCGTGCTCTTGAGCCAGTCTCCCAGACCGACAATGGAGTAGTCGATGTCGATGCCGGGCGTGTCTCGGCGTCTCTCGATGACGTACTGCGCTGTCCAGCCCTCGTTAGAGACGGCCGTGGTCAGCAGCGTCCAGCCTCCGCCGTTCAGCGTCATGTCACAGTAGAGCGGCGCCGGCAGGCCGCGGTGGCGGTACACGCCGTCTGTGTGATAGTGGAGGTTATTCAGCATCCGGCAGGTGCCCGGCAGTCGTAGCATGACGGCTCCAGTCTCTACCACCTCCACCGACGTCCCGACCTGGGTGGACAGCAGGGTGCAGGTGCCGCCGCCGGAGGGTTCTGGACGGAAGTTAGCCGCCGCGCAGTCAGGCCAGCGGAGACAGAGCAGACTGCACTGGATCTGGGAGCCGGCGGCGGAGACATCCAGCGGCTCAGACTCCGTGACCAGCTCCCACATCGACGTGCTCTTGAACCGGGCCGCTGACGGGTTTTCGGGCAGCACGTCCGCGGCAGCAGTCGAGTGGAGGTGGAGCAGGACGATGGTACAGAGCTGGAGGTATGGACGGAGCCTCCACCAAGGAACGGTCTGCCTCCTCATGGTCGATGTGGATGGACGTACAGGAAGTAGAACAATCTAAGAATGTGAAGATGTCGCGTCCGGGTCCATGTAACACTGAAGGGCCGGGACGGCCGTGTCTGCAGGCGCTGAGGCCGCGGACCGAAGGGACGCCGTGACGCTGATTCGATGTTGCAGTCTTTGTTACCATCGTCTCGTGGCAACCGCCATGCCAGCGCTGGATAAAGTGAATAGGTACATGCGATCCTGGTCGGCTTGACATGCATGTGTTTGCCGTTTTGGGTTGCATGTCATGAGATCGTACAGCACAGTAGCAAGAAACTTTAAGCATTAGCTCCAAGGCTTCTGGAATCAATGATGGATAATGTAGGCATACGCTGGCGTCGCATAGCTATATGCACTATGCAGCTCTTTATGATCCGTTATGTAGGTACCGCATCGCATGCTTTAATTTTAAGTTCCATTGATAACTCCCCTTTCTTAGATCACAGCCCCGGGCCGGTATGCTCTAGTAGCTGCTCCACATCTGTCCTGAACCCCTAACAAGACCGGCGAACTGGCTCCATCGGCCTGGCATTGATGTCAATTGCTTCTTCCGGCTTACCGCGAATTGTTGCAATTTATCTCTGGAATGACTTAATGAGGTACTTGTCCAAATCAGTCGTGGAATGTTCTGCTCTATCATTATGCCAAACGAACCATGCCAGCGCAACTTTTTGTGTTGCGCTACCACAGGATTATTTGGCGATCTTCTGAGTTCTGAGAATCCAGATCTCAACAGAAAACAATTTATCAGTCTGCGGTGTGCCGTGCCAATTACTGTAGACTATACAGTGTATATGCTGGGTGTTTCTCATCCTTGCCTATGTCTGTGAGAAATGTTTGAATTGAAAGATCATATTACTGCAATAAAAAGAACATACGATATAGGCAACGAACGTTTATTTCTAATGCCAGAGGTTATCTGACTACTCGGTAATTTCCGTTCTTTAATCTCCTTCAATTGCACCTTTACTGCCTGACTGTCATTAATTGGAAAAGGAGGTTACGTTTTGTTCTTTTCATTGTGATATGCACTTACGTTTCTCTCTGTCTATTCTTGATGTGTAAGTTTGGTTTTCTTGCAGCACTCTTGATATGTTTTATCCCTGCTTTGGATACCTCTTTGCTGATTATTTAAGGACATATTTGTGTTATGAGGTTATCGGTGGAGCCAACAAAGTGCATTTAGTTATTTGTTGGCTCCACCGATAACCTCATAAATACCTCTTTGCCTTTGCATTTTTGATTTCTCTATTTATCTTGCTTTGTTTGCAAATATTGTGCTCATTAAAAATTGGCCTGCTGCACGGGGCTTGCGCTATCCTGTGTCATTCTTACTTTCGCAGTTCAAATTTGTGTAAAATCTAGCTATTTTAGTTTTTTTTTATCAACTCTGCTATTTATCATGCATTAGTGTGTTTATGGTCAGGTATTTGTCCCTGAAGTTTGATCAGGCTTTCGTTGAAGCCCCGGTTCTTTGGGATAAGTTGTCAACCATATCAGGTCTCTCACTTCTGCTGGTTCCATAAAACATAAGCACATTGCATAAATACATATTCAACATTGCTTATGGGGGTGGTCGATGCTGCATACCTACTGATGTTCTCCTTCCAAATTCGCAGTTTTTTTCATTTACCGTTATACACTTAAGAATATCGGGGACGGGATAAACCAGGAAGTTGTGATTTATTGATATGCTAGTGTTCAATCATCCGTAATTTGTTGTAGTTGTCGTTTGTGCAAGTATGTCATCTGTGACCCCATGTGGCTTTGTGTGACCCCATGTGACTCCATCTGACTCCCCAGTGACTCCATCTGACCCCCAGTTGACTCCGCCTGACCCCATGTGCGCCGTCTGTCGTTCCCGCAGAGATTCTGGACCGGTCTGACCTGATGCCTCAGATGTACCGCGACGAGACCAACCGACTCCGGGACAAGTACTACCCGATCGAGATCGATCCGCACATGACCGTCGCTGAAAAAGTGCCCTACGTAAGGCCGACTTTGTGCCTCAATATTCGATTGGAATGAAAATATTTTGTGAAAATTGCACTGGATTTACTCTATGCGCATGCTTATACGCAATTGGGTCAACATTTGTAATTTTTATTTTGTTTTTACTTATCTGTGCACCTCTCACAGGGAGAGTAAACATAATGCATTTCAGCCTTTATAAGCAGTTACTGTTTGTGTTTCATTTTCCCGACGCTTTGAATCTACTCAATATGCTCGTGCTAGCGGACGTGAATGTGATTGTCCTATTGCTTTCCTTTTCCCAGGCAGTAGAGTGGTACACACAAGCGCACGAAGTGCTCATCAAAACGGGACTGAAGAAGCAGGATCTTGTCAACATGGTGAAGGACTCCACGGCTCAATTCAGGTAGGCAGATTCACCAATGGGTCTGCAGTGTCCGGGAGCGGACTAAAATCGGCTATCAGACGACTGAATTTGGCTATTACACGCGGAGCTCGAGGGCGAAGCTCTGTTCAGCCGTGCAGAACGACCGGTGTCTGTGGGATTCGAGGAGAGCTGAAGGAGAGACATCTAAAAGCAAATGCCTTCCATTTCGTAGAACACAACTGCGTCCGGGTGCATGTAATGCCAGCAGCCGCAATCTGACGTCCATTTATAGGCACCCTCGTAGTTTTCAACAATTACCCATCCCCGCATTCCTGCTTCGGTATGTCATTAGCAATGCTTGTATTCGAATATTCGATGTCTTTTTGTTTACTGCAGCCTCGCCGCCCGGTAGATCTGATCAAAGCTGTTTTGGCGACGGTCGGACATGAACTGACGTGCATTGCAATGACTGCATTTGATCGGTTGGGGAGCCTTCTGCACTGCAGCTGCAGGCCATTTTTAATAATTGGCTGCTGTGGTCATAGACCGGGAGAGTGGAAGAGACATTGCTGGTTGTTTGTAAATGCTGCTGTCATTGTTGAGCAATGATCCTTGACCGGACTGGACCTAAATCTGATACCTTACCTCCCAGCTATTACTGTCTCTTACGGGGCAGTACCATTGGCTGTGACCTGAAGTCTGAAGTGACTGGAATTACGCAGTAAAATTAACTGTTCGACGTAGAACTGGTGCTGACTTTACCAAGAACTGCTGACCATACTGACCATACGAAGTGACCCCATAGGCCCGTGACCTGACCGGGGCTGATCTGATCCGCGCTGACCCCTCAGATCCGGCACTGACCGTCTGCTGGAGGACCTGCACCGGTTGAACGTCCCCGTACTCATCTTCTCGGCTGGCCTCGGCGACCTCATCCACGTGATGCTCGACCAGCAGGCCAAGGACCACGACAACATCAAGGTGGTCTCCAACTACATGCGATTCGACGAGGAGGTGGGTTGCGTCGGCTGCTGGAAGATTGCTCAGTTGAATTACTGGAGCTTAGGGAACTTTGGCCAGTCGGCTAGTTGAATTTTGTTCTTGTTTAATTACGGAGCGAGCGAAGCGAGCGTAGTCTTTCCTTAGATTAACGGAAATTTCTGAGTATGAGCGGCCGTCCGGCCGGCCGGCCGTGGTCGCGCTTTTGCGAGGCTTATATCTCAGCAACCACTTGACCGATTTACACGCGGTAATTTTTGTAGGGTAGCTTCATTCCTTCTACCAAGTATTGGACTATTCCCGATGCATGTGGGTGACCCCTTATGCACGTGCCACGTGCAAAACGAAGAGGTGTCAGTTTTGTAATTGTTGCAATATCTCGGTAACTACTTGGCCGATTGCGCTGAAAGTTGGCATGTATGTAGGCACCCACTAGGCAATGCATATCCGTGTGCCAGAGTTGGGGTGCTGCTGCACGTGCGCACGTGCAGGGGTCGATTCCAAATCTCGAGAACGGCTGGACCGATGGCGCTCAAATTTGGCACATGGTTAGGGACCGGTTAGTAGGGTGCCGTGCAAAAGTCAGTTGGGACCCATTTTGCACGTGCGCACGTGCAGGGTGCCGATTCCAGATCTCGAGAACGGCTGGGCCGATTGTGTTCAAATTTGGCACATCGCTAGAGACCGGTTAGTAGGGTGCCGTGCATAAGTCAGCTGGAGGTACCCCCTCGAAATTTCGCACGTGCAAGGCTCACCCTCTCGCTCGCTCCGTTAGTCGCCCATAAGGCGTTATAGTGGTCTTAGTTACGTGGCTCGCCATCTTACTATTTTTAGTTGCTATGGTTTCTTTTTCTTTTGCAGTGCATTTCATACTGCAAGTGTATAGCTGCTGGAGTCATGGATAATTCATCCACTCCCGACTGGTGCGCCCTGTCACCAAATAATCCACTCTCACTTACGTCTTTGCCCCGCCCTACTGTGTCATTCTTTTAGGGTAAGATGATCGGCTTCACGGACGAAATGATCCACATGTACAACAAGAACGAGAACGCCGTCCACTCGTCGTCATACTTTGAGCGTCTGAAGGGCAGGAACAACGTCATCCTGATGGGAGACAATGTGGGCGACCTGCACATGGCCGACGGCGTCGACAATCCCAACGTCACGCTGAAGATCGGCTTCCTCAATCAGCCGGTTAGTGGCACAGGGGGGGGGGGGGGGGTTATAGTAGGAGACGGAGCGGGGGATGCAGTAGGTGTTATAACACCGTGCTTAAAAGATGTGGTGGTGTTCCGGAGAATGGTGTGGCGGAGTTAGTGGCAATTGTTACGGGCGATCATGGTTGCTGAGGATTAAAGATGCGCGATTTGAACGTATGATTCTGAAAAAAATGCAGTAGCTGAATAATTATAAGACTAGATGAATGAATGAATGAAGATGAATGAATGAATGAATGAATGAATGAATGAATGAATGAATGAATGAATGAATGAATGAATGAATGAATGAATGAATGAATAAACTAATGAATGAGTGAATGAGTGAGTGAGTGAATGAATGAATGAATGAATGAATGAATGAATGAATGAATGAATGAATCAATGAATGAATGAATCAATGAATGACCCATTTAATGAACAGAAAAATGAGGACAAAATGTACCTAATGGAGCTACTGCTGCGTTGTTGCAGTGAATCGCTCGTTATTCGGGATGAAACTTTCAACCTACTTAGAGCTTATAGCATAGGCGCGGGAGCCGGGGGGCAGTGGGGGCAGCTTGCCCCCCCCAACTCTGGGGCCGTGGGGGCGGTGCCCCCACAGCTTTGAGACGGAATACCACACTTTTTGCAAATGTTTTCTTTTTTTGTTGAAAAAGCCGAGGGGTGAAAAATAAGTGGCCTAAAACCGGTGAGAAAACTAGATTTGGGGGTACCCTAGGTTAATCTCTATTATGGTGTGCCCCCCCAGTCGGAAAGTAGTTCCCGCGCCCCTGGCTTATAGTAATGACTGGTATTTTCAGAGCAATTATATCGTTTATAGCGGGGAAATAATACTTAGCGACCATGGCCTTGACAACAAATGCTCGACGATCACTGTAAAATGACCACTGACCACCGACCACACTCACCTTCACTGATCACTGGCCTCCACTGAGTGACTTACTGCCCGCTGTTTCAGAGCGAGGAGCGTCTGGCCAAGTTCCTCGACCTGTTTGACGTGGTGTTGCTCGACGACCAGACCATGGACCTGGGCAACGACATTGTCTCCCGGCTCATGTAGCCACTCGGGTGACCAACGGGGCTCTCTGTGATCCAAACTCAGTCCGGCGCGGTTAGTTCGGGGACCGGCCGCCGCTGGCGCCACTGTCGCTCAGAACGGCCATTGGTTGTGAACTGAAGACATGTCCTCGACTGGTTCGGGGGTAGGTTGTTGGTTAAGAACCAATGGACTGACTCAGGTCGCACCAGTTCTATGAAGAATGCCTAGATCGAATTGAATCGTTGCTCCAGATACGATAATGCAGTTGCGTCTGTGGAAATCGGTTCGGCTTGGTCTGAGCTGGTTTTAGGCCGCCATGGATCGGCTCAGACCGTTACAGGTTGGGCTCAGTTTTGACCAGTTTATGTCTGTTTTGATTGTCTCTGCCTCAGGAGAGGGTGCCTGGTTTGATTTGGATTTGTAGTACTGCCTGTGTGGGTCTGATGTGTTTGCTGGTGCGCCCTCCCCGAGGCCTGAGGCCTCTTGCACCAAAATCCTCTTGCACCAATGCTTGGATTATTTTGCATCGTATACCCAGTCCAAGTCTCAAATGTAACAATTTGCGTGCAAAATTTAGCAAGCACATGCAGGATTATGTATTGGGCTATTGCAAATAAATTTACCACCGTTAGATTAGCTTATTCTGAAACCGGTTTTTCGATTTTACCTAGCTAGGTAGTTTGGTGCAAGAGGCCTCTGAACGACAATACCGTGCAGTTTTACATTCACCTGAAGGCTGGCTCGTCTGGTTCACATGGCTACGGTTTGACAGCCGATTAGGGGCGCCCGTATTCACTGCCAACAGAGATGTGCCTGAGTGGTCAGTCGCGTGCAATCAAATCCTTAGTTCGGTGGTCAGAGCAGTGGCCCTTTAATATGCTCTTTGTGGAATCTGTATCTGTTGTATTTTAGTCGCCCTTATTTTTGCTATGTTCAAGTATCTGCCAACAGTACCTGGCAATCGATCAATCGTGGTTATTATTATCACTAGTCATGTATCATTTTTTTACGCAGCTGTTCTTAAAGGCAAAGTACATGATATTTATCTTTTCCTGTCGTTAAATTCGCTAAAGGTTTTAGTTAAGTTGCAATATTCTCGGACGTGGCTCGTAAAATAAATGAAAAGGCATGTTGCTTGGTTGTGTGTGTAACCATTCGCGTGATTCGTTGTCAAGGTTTTCAGCGGTGCCGCCTAGCTGGCGGGTCCGGGGGTATCGGAACTATCCCAATGTTCCCTGTGTGGCCATTCACTCCCCTTCCTAAAACAATGCTCGTATACAGTGCCCATACAAGGTGGCACGCATCCTCCACCGCTCAATGATCACTAAGTAGTTTTGAATGGTGAATAGTTTTGGCCGAAAGTCTCCTGACGTGATGCAACTCATGATGTGTCGTTCTGGTTACTAGATCAGTAGATTAGTGGGAGGGGTACCAATTCCCTATAGATTTACATCCCACACTAACAGTGAGTGCCTCATCATGCCATCGGTGAGCCCGCCTGAACGGCGCCCGCGGTAAAGGAGCTGGCATTTGGTAGGCACTATCCCGGCCCGTAATGGATGAAACGTCGGTGTCTTTAGTCCTTATCGGAGGCAGCGAGTTCGCAGCTGAGTGGCTAAGTGACCCGCCGTTTGAGAATACGCAGGAGAATACGAATCTGAAGCGCCCGCCCCGCTCGGGTGGCAGGTGATGGTAGTTGGGGTCACGGTACATAGAATACTAGGTAACACCGGTTTGTCCGCTCAACACAGGGCCAATGGTCACCACTTTCTTCAGCTGACGTCTGTGACCTTGAGCTGACCTAGGATGATAAACAGCTGACAATTTAGGCCATTTGGGACTCACTTGACAGCTGAAGAGCGTGATTTAAAATATAAATATTTGTCAGACACTGACAAAAGATATTATTCACCAGTCATTTTTTAAGCACATTCTGTCATAAATTAGCTGACTCCCTCTGATCTTCCACACGGTAGAAAATGCAAGTGCAAATTCTGCAGTCTTGAAGTGAACCAAACGATTATGATACACATGATCGTTTCTCTCAGAGCACAACGGAAACTGCGAGAAAACAAGAGAGAGTCGGACTCTACAAATGAATGAATTTGAAAGAAAAATAGCTGTAATTTTTCCTGTGGAAATGTTGACTTTGAAAACATTGGCCATCAACTTTAAAAATGCCCTGAAATATGAAAATATGTGAATTGGCAAAACAGACAATCTTGCTGTTTTTGCCCAAGTTTGTTCATGATTTGGAGAGATTCGATGCGAAAATGCACTGATAAATACTTTTGGAAGCGAGGTCTCGATCAATGTATTAATTTTGATTTTTAATGTAACGCGAGTCCCACTTTTTCCTCCAAGAAAATATATTTGTCAATTTTTCAATAATTCTTTTATGCGTCATTGCTTTAAAAATAAAGAGAGTCGGACCGTAATTCTTTCAAAATGACTGATCGTGCTCAATATCTATCGGAATATATCAACAGATTGGCCAGACTCATTGGCTAAATATGTTTAAATTGCATTTTTCTTACTTTCTGCAGATTTTCCAGCAAAATTTTGCTGTAGTTTAAGCTGCGTTTCCTGCAGATTGTGTTCACGGACCAATGGGAGACAAGTATTTCTACATCAACAGGTTTTTTCGCCGTCAATTGGTCTAACGGGTGTTTTTCGTATGCGCAGCTTATGTCACAGCTGCGTAAGAACACGTTTGCTTTAAATCACTGGATATTTCTTTTCCGAATATCAATATTAAAGGTCAATGTTTTTCATAAGATTTGTGGGGGCTGGATTATCGTCATTAACTAATTACTTGATGTCATATTTTAATGGGGAGTGGTGTAATGCCCGCACGACTGTTGACTTTCATTGTAATTGCTTGAGCTGGTTCCTTGGCCGCCTCAGACAGCAAGATGGTGTGTCAAGTATCATGGCCTGACAGGAAGGGGTAGTCATAAAGCAGGCGTCACACTTCCGTGTTAACGGCCGGAGGTCCGGTGACGGGCTGTGGCCTTGAGACGGCCGCCGGTTTATTACGTCACAAACGTACTATCGATGCAGAGTTTTCTATCGATGTGAGAGCTTTGATTTACGGAGCGGGGAGATGAAAATGACCAGCGCACAGCGGACGCAGGGAGAGGAAAGGATAAACAAACTTGGTCACAGCAGCGGACTCGCTTCGAATCCGAAGGTCCCGGGTTCGAATTTCACCATGGCGTTGCCTCAGCGGCCACTTTATCGTACTTTTTAAGTTTTAGAGGGTTGGGATCGGCAGTGCTGAGGGTGCTAGAGCTCACTGACTCGACTCCAATGCAGAGGTCCTGGGTTCGAGTCCCACCACGGCGTTCCCTAAGCGGCCACTTTATCGTACTTTTTTTAGTTTTAGAGGGTTGGGATCGGCAGTGCTGAGGGTGCTAGAGCTTAATTCGACTCCAATGCAGAGGTCCTGGGTTCGAATCCCACCATTGCATTAACTCAGCGGCCGACTGTATCGTACTTTTTTAGTTTTAGAGGGTTCCGCAGTGCTGAGGGTGCTAAAGCTCACTGATTTAACTCCAATGTAGAGGTCCTTGGCTCGAATCCCACCATGGCATTGACTCAAAGACCGATTTTATCGTACTTTTTAGTTCTAGAGAGCTGGGATCAACAGTGCTAAGAGTGCTAGAGTTGACTGACTCAGCTCGAATGCAGAGGTCCCAGGTTCAAATCCCGCCACGGCGTTGGCTCAGCAGCTGAATTCCGCGTACTTTTTCTAGTTTTACGGGGTTTGGATAGGCAGTGCGAAGGGTGCTAGAGCTCGCTGAATCAACTCAAATGCAGAGGTCTCGGGTTTTAATCCCACCATAGGTAGAGAGTTGGTCAACTGTCTCTCATTCTAAAACTAGAAAAGCTAGAGAAACGCGGTTCATGCCAGTTGATACACAATTGATCAACCTAGCACATATCTAAAGATCAAGATCCTGCAATTCTCCGTCTGGCCACCAGGGGGCCAACTCTCTACCTATGGTGGGATTAAAACCCGAGACCTCTGCATTTGAGTTGATTCAGCGAGCTCTAGCACCCTTCGCACTGCCTATCCAAACCCCGTAAAACTAGAAAAAGTACGCGGAATTCAGCTGCTGAGCCAACGCCGTGGCGGGATTTGAACCTGGGACCTCTGCATTCGAGCTGAGTCAGTCAACTCTAGCACTCTTAGCACTGTTGATCCCAGCTCTCTAGAACTAAAAAGTACGATAAAATCGGTCTTTGAGTCAATGCCATGGTGGGATTCGAGCCAAGGACCTCTACATTGGAGTTAAATCAGTGAGCTTTAGCACCCTCAGCACTGCGGAACCCTCTAAAACTAAAAAAGTACGATACAGTCGGCCGCTGAGTTAATGCAATGGTGGGATTCGAACCCAGGACCTCTGCATTGGAGTCGAATTAAGCTCTAGCACCCTCAGCACTGCCGATCCCAACCCTCTAAAACTAAAAAAAGTACGATAAAGTGGCCGCTTAGGGAACGCCGTGGTGGGACTCGAACCCAGGACCTCTGCATTGGAGTCGAGTCAGTGAGCTCTAGCACCCTCAGCACTGCCGATCCCAACCCTCTAAAACTTAAAAAGTACGATAAAGTGGCCGCTGAGGCAACGCCATGGTGAAATTCGAACCCGGGACCTTCGGATTCGAAGCGAGTCCGCTGCTGTGACCAAGTTTTTTTATCCTTTCCTCTCCCTGCGTCCGCTGTGCGCTGGTCATTTTCATCTCCCCGCTCCGTAAATCAAAGCTCTCACATCGATAGAAAACTCTGCATCGATAGTACGTTTGTGACGTAATAAACCGGCGGCCGTCTCAAGGCCACAGCCCGTCACCGGACCTCCGGCCGTTAACACGGAAGTGTGACGCCTGCTTTATGACTACCCAGGAAGGTGGGTACCCAGAGTCCCCAGAGAGCCCTAGCTCAATATTAATCTCAGATGAAGCCCATATATATGTCTCAGAGCTTGCTTAAGTTTTAACCTCACCTACATATAATCTAACATAACCTGAAATAACCAGACACGCTAGAACCCTTATTTTGGTCAAATGCTGATGAGCAGAAAAATATTAACTTTTTGACGATTTGCAATTCCTACCTATGTCTGGACGAGGGTTTGTTGGTTTCTGTTTAGGTAAACTATGGTGAAGATAAAAAACATAATCTACCCTACTCAGCCCTAGCCTAACCTCGCGGACTAACCTACAACTTTTGGTAAATGTTCAGAAAGAGTCTGATTCACTTTTCAGGCATACATTTTGTACATTCTTACACTATTTGACATCTTGAATCCAGATATGATATTTACATGTGATACAAATACAAAACAAAAATCAAACCTTACCTAACCCCATGTTGCATATTCATATGAACTGCAGAATGCAGATCAGATATTTTTTGAACAAATACCCATCTTTCATCCTTTCAGCATACCTACAACCTACTAAACAGCCTTGGTATCAACCTACCATTCATACTTTATCTACACATACATATTGATATATGAGGTATGTTTTGTTCAGTAGGTTATAGTAGGTCAGGTGCCTACATGCTATCATTTGTCATGCTTTGATTTCAGGTGGTGTCTTGTGGGCTTTATAGTGGGCTTTGTGGCCCTCTCTAAGTGCAAGGGTTAAGTGTTGATGCACATAATGCAATGTGTTTTTTTCCATGGGCGCAGGAACCTCACGTAAAGTGTGTGTGGGGGGGGGCGGCAGAGAACTTCAATGTCACTTTGTGTCACTTCAATGTCGACCCCAATACCCCTATGAATAAATTCTTTGCAGTTTCGTGCTCATCTTATCTTGCCGAACCATTTCTTGCTCTTAGTTTTGAATTTAAATGAAAAATAAATATTTTACTTTAAAAATAAGCATAGCTGAAAAGTGGGGGCATGCCCCCCCCCGCTCCTATGCCTATGTTTTTTCTTAATGGTACAAATCATCCAGATTCATATGAGAAGGGTAGGTAGCTACCTACAAAACCAAACCAATGCCTCAATTGTTTATTGTTTTCTTACAATAAGTCCGTCCTCTGCCAATCGCACTAAACTATCTACTGTCACCACAATGCAGTGTGCGTCATGATTTCTCAACTCTATGCATACAATATATT